CCCACCTTGGTCTCCCAGAGCGCTGGGATTAAGGGTGTGAACCACCATGCCTGGCCCAAAGTACTTTTTGTAATTTGTCACTACATATTACGTTGTGCTCCTTCTTTTAAGGACTGTATCCCCCATTAGCCTGTGAGCCATGATGGCGGTCTGCAGGGTTTCTTATTACACACTGGTGCCTGACTTATCAGTGATCGTTGAAGAGGACTTATCACTTATCAGTGATCAGTGAAGTGAAGGACACTTCAGTGATCAGTTTCTTCTTCAGTGTCCATTTCTCTTGTTGCTGGTTCATATGGTTGATGTTTTGCTTGGCCCCGCCCTGTTCCAGTAGCTTCTCACTGGCAAGATGTGGCCAGGATCTTAGGCTGTTTGAGTCGGATGAACTTGGATTCAATCTTGGTTAACCACTTACTGACTGTGTGATCAAGGAAAAGTGACCCAGCTTCTCTGAACCTCAGTTTACTGCCCTGTCAAATGAGGAAAATGATGTCCAGCTGGAAGGCTGGGCCTAAGATGAACTCTAACACCTTAAAGTGATGTACACTGTTACTGGAACTATGCGTGTACCAGTCAAGGTGATTGTCATTATTATTCATCATACTGAGACAGCCATCCAGGTGGCATCCTAGCACTGGTAATTATTGCATCAGCATTTCCCTGCCCCACCACCTGCAACAGAACAGAGTCTCACATTAGCAGGGATCACAGAGAGTAAATGTTAATCAGTGATTGAACTCTGAGGAATAGTTCAGCATCTCAGATTGCTTATTTTTGAGAAAAGAAGCTGGTGGGGGTGTGCACACAGGATTTTCTAATAGCATGCATGCATTCATTCATATGTGCAAATACAAGGGAAGAGAATTAATGATTGTTTCCAGTTGGAAGGACTGAGCTTCAGGTAAAGCATGTAGCCTGTACAAGTAGAGTAGGGGCAGTGCATCAGGAAACGGAGCTGCCAGGACCAGGGGGACCAGCTCTTTGTTTGTTTGTTTGTTTGGTGTGAGGAGTTATGAGATAGTGGAGGAGGTTTGGGGGAGCTTAAGAAGAAAGGATTTCCCAGAGAGAGAATATTGCAATCATATGCAAGATTGAGTCCTAAATGACTTTGGCTTTTGTTATCAACAGAACAAATTAGAATTCAGGTTCTATCTGAGGCACTTCTGAGAAGAGGAAAAGAGGGACAGGAACCTCCACAGAGATGTAAAGAAGATTAGGTCCTGAGAGAGGCCAGAGATCAAAGTATGCTGGGGACTTGTGAGGCAGCTTTCCCCAGAGTTTTTTGTGGTTATTCCAGTGTTTCAGGAAAAGCAGTGTTTTCTGAACCTGTAAAAACCTTTTGTTTTTTTGCCTTTTTAAATTTGGGTTGAAACAATATATATAAAAGCAGTTGTGTGAACTGAAGTTTCCTACGTGTCGGAACCATCCGTTCATCTTGTAGTGATGCTTCTCCTGTATCTTAATCCCTTTAGATTTCCTTTATTCTTACCTGTTTTACAGATGGGGACACCAGGGCCAGAGAGATTGGGTGACATGCCCAAGGTCATATGGATAGAAAGTGACAAATGTCTTCCTCCACACACCAGGCTATTAGAGATGGTCCTTTTAATACTGCTCATCATCGGTATTGGGTTAAGTAGATATTGTTGACAAGCCACCCAGTGGCTTTGTGGATGGGACCAGAAGTAGAAGAACTAGCCTGGATGTTCCCCATAAAGCTACCTGTGACTCTGTGATTGAAACCTCCAGTAATTTGGAGGGAACAAAACTAAGCTCTGCCTCCAGTGTGGCCCTAAATAGCCATCTTGACCCTGCACCCTTGCTAACCCTCAGCTTTTCAAGCAGCACAACCATGCATAGCTCCATTCCATACATGAAAGCCCTTATCTAAGTAGGTCTACTCTCTCTTCTTCCCAGGGAGGAGTTGACTGTTTTAAGGGGTCATATTCTGAAAGGTGAAGGAACATTCTGTCTTAGATACCAACAAGGTTTGTGGTCACAGGAGGCTATGCAAGATTACTGTGGAACACAAGCCTACATAGTTGTGTATTTCCCACAGCAACCCCAAGAGATAGGCGCTGTTACTTAAGCCTTGCTCTGTGAGTCATCTGAGGCCCAAAGAGGTTCAGCAGCTTGCTCAAGAACACATGATAAGAGGCATAGCAGGGGACTTAAAACAGATAGTTTTGTTCCAAAACCCTGTTCTTAAATATTTTACTAATGCCATTTTGATAAGTGCCATCTATTCATCCATCCTTCCATCCATTTATTAACGCACCTCTGTCCCCACCTTTTCATCTATCCCACATCTGTCCTTCTATCCATCTATTGATCCATCCATCCATCCATCCATCTATTCATTCATCCATCTAGTCACCCATACATCCTACCATCTATCTATCCATTTATCCATCTCTTTATCCATCCATCCATCTACCCACCCATCCATCAGTCTATCCATCTGTCCACCCATACACTCATCCATTGTGTTGGCTATTTGTCTGACATGGTCCTCCACTTCATCCTGGGTAAGAAATTGCTACATCCCTGGAGGTGAGCATATGTTTTCTAGAACTGGAGGCCTCCATGAGAATACATCACATCACTTAGCTCCCAGGAAGTATCTGGGTGCTGCTGCCATTCCTAAGTTGTTGTTCTCACAACTGCTGTTGTTTCAGGTAGTGCCTTGTTGCTTACTCTGTTTTCTCCCTCAGTAACCTGTAGAGAGTTTTTCCCTACAATGTTCTCAAAATGAGCAAAGCTGCAGAAATCCTTGGCATTCTGAAACATTATTATAAAGGGATACTCAGTAACCCCATTCGTTGACCCAAAAGCTGGATATTGGATTAGTTAGGAATGATTTTACTTTTTAAAAATGTTACAGAGTTTGTGTATTATATCTAAAAATTATCTAATCTAAAAGACGGGTTCACAGGGCGTTTAATAAAGAAAAAAATTTGATAGACTTTAGGCCAATTTGAATGGAGATAAATCGATTAAGGGAACAAAATTATCTTTGAAGAGGCAGTATTATAAAGAGGCAGTATGGTCTAGTTATTTGCATATTTATTAAGTGCAAAGCAAAGAAAGTGGTTTAATTATTTCGCATAACCTCTGTTGTACAAAAGCCTTGATGAGAGGATCCCACTTTTCAAATTTTTTTTACTTAGAATTAAAATTCTAAACATACTAAAATTCAAACATGTAAATATAAACAGCCATATAAATTACCCTGTGTATTTATTACCTGTCTTCAACAATTATCAACAATGACTGTAGTCACCTTTGCTCACGTTTTTTCTTTTCAAAAGTTTCAGAGGCAGATTCCTCCTCACTTGACTTAATTTTATTGAATCACAATTCCATTCTAGAAAAGCATATTATATTAACATTGAAGTAGAATAAACTTTTGAATATAACTGCTTATTTTTTCATTGAAATTTAGCATTTTGGGGGGTATAACATTGAGAATTTCCCACCTTCTTTTAACTGAAAAATTTCAAATCTACAGCAAAGTTGAAAGAATACTAAGTGAACCTTCACATGTCCTTCACTTAAAATCACCAGTTATTAGCATCAGGACTGGTATTTCTCAAGTGTATCTCCCCATGGGGATCACATGAAGACAGGGGAGGTTTTCTTACCTTTGAAGACCTGTAGACAGTCGTTCATGGCTTTTAGAGGCTGACACATAAAGGTTCAGATTCCACGACGAGCACCTCCTTGCTGTGCATGATAGGCGAGTTGCCTTATATTCAATATCTTTATCTCTTAAATGGAAAAATAATAGTGGTGTACACCCATGGTGGCATGTGAGGTGCATAGAAGATGCTCAACAAATGTTACCTATCTCTTTGCCTCCTAGCTGTGCCTCTGTGTTGCAGCTGGGGAAGCTGTGTGGGTAGAACTGCACATTTTCAATTCAAGTCCTTTTTTGGTCACCATGGAAGATTTTTGCAGTTAAGAGAGTTAGTATGACCTAGTGAGAAGAGGCTGGGTCTGAGGTGAGAATGGTTCCCCAGTTCTGCCCTTACCATTCTGGAACTTGGTTAAGTTACTTGGTCTCCCTGAGCCCTAGTTCTCTGACTGTAAATTGGGGATAGAAAAAATAATGACCTCATTGAGTTGTTGTCCAGGAGAAAATGAGATGGGAGAGTCTGTGCCCAGCATTTAGTACAGTGTCTGCCTCATAAGCACCCAACGAATGTTACTGATCACTGGTATTATTATAAGTAAAGATACATTGGCATAGTACCTCCCATATAATTGCTCAATAAATGTTAGTTATTATAAGTAAGGATGGAGAACACTCACGAAATTGGTCTTTAATAGCCTGCGTCTACTTTGGTGCAATGAAAAGAATAAAGATCTTGTGTGAAAGCTTGCAATGCCATTTCAAATAAGAGTAAGCCTGGATGGGTCAGGCACAGTGGCTCACGCCTGTAATCCCAGCACTTTGGGAGGCCCAGGCAGGTGGATTGCGAGGTCAGGAGTTCGAGACCAGTCTGGCCAACATGGTGAAATCTCATCTTTTACTAAAAATACAAAAATCAGCCAGGTGTGGTTGCAGCTGTCTATAATCCCAGCTACTCAGGCAGCTGAGGCAGAAGAATTGTTTGAAACTAGAAGGCGGAGGTTGCAGTGAGCCAAGATCGCACCACTGCCTGTGTGAAAGAACAAAATTCCGTTTCAAAAAAAAAAAAAAAATAGTAAGCTTGGATAGACGTGGCTACCACCAGCTCGGCGTGGCATCTAGAGGCATCATGGGAAAGGACTGCACGTGCCTTGGGTTCCATACACTGATGTCATAAAATCAACCGGCCTTCTTGAACCCTCCTGCAAGGGTTGGCTTCTGGCATTGAATGGCTCATGGCTCACCCCATGGCTAGGATATATGCCTCTATTCCAAAGGCTTTATGCTGTTCTTGTTGTCTGGAACTGACTTCCTTCCTTCCTTTCTCTCTTTCTCTGTTTTCTGACCCTCTCGTCTTGTATCGCAGGTCGAAAGGATTGTAGACAAGAGGAAGAACAAGAAAGGAAAATGGGAGTATCTTATCCGATGGAAAGGCTACGGGAGCACAGAGGACACGTGGGAGCCAGAGCACCACCTCTTGCATTGTGAGGAGTTTATTGATGAGTTCAATGGGCTGCACGTGTCCAAGGACAAGCGGATCAAGTCAGGGAAGCAGTCCAGCACCTCCAAGCTTCTGCGTGATGGTCGAGGCCCCTCGGTTGAGAAACTCTCCCAAAGACCTTCGGATCCTGGAAAGAGCAAGGGGACCTCCCATAAACGGAAGCGAATTAACCCTCCCCTGGCCAAGCCAAAAAAAGGGTATTCCGGCAAGCCTCCTGCAGGAGGTGACAGGGCTGCCAAGACAGTGTCTTACAGGACTACCCCCAGTGGTTTGCAAATAATGCCCCTGAAAAAGGCTCAGAATGGGATGGAAAATGGGGATGCCGGCTCTGAGAAGGATGAGAGGCACTTTGGAAACGGGTCCCATCAGCCTGGCTTGGATTTGAATGATCACGTTGGAGAGCAAGATGTGGGCGAATGTGACGTGAACCATGCCACGCTGGCGGAGAACGGGCTCGGTTTGTAGCTTTTCTTTCTCTTGGGTTTGGCTCTAGCTGTGGTGAACAGGGAGCTCTGCCTGCAGCTTAGGGACATACGTAAGACCCCACCTCCATCCCCACCTTGTAGGTGGCCAGTAATTCCCCCTTTGTCTCTCTCACCTAGAGCCTTGTAGACTCAGTCATAGCCCCACATTGGTTACGGACCCTCATGCATGTGGGGAGGCTAAGCCTGTGATGCTCCAGCCAAGGTCTGGAATGGATCCAAAGTTCCAGATGGTACTTCAAGACACCCAAGGCCATGGTAACCCTCTAGACACACTTCTCTGAGGGCAGCTCAAGTCCTTACCCCCAGGATATGAGATGCATGTCCTCAGCAGGCCAGTGCCTCCCACAGCACAGTACAGAGCCCTTGCTTGCAGCCCCATCATGCCCCCAGCAGTGTACCCCAGAAAGGTAGGGTCTGGGTTGGGTCTGTGCTGTGTGCTGAGGCACAGTGTGGACTTGAAGACAGTGTGGACTTGGAGTTGACCATGCCAGTACCTGTGCTGGAGCCTCCTGCCCTTCTGCCATCTCTAGGTTGGATGATTGGCCTATATTAGGTCGTGTCTTAGCCTGTTCAGGCTGCTGTAACAAAACAGCTTAGAATCGGTAATTTATGACAAATAGAAAACTAATTTCTCACAATTCTGGGGGCTAGAAGTCCATGATGAAGGCACCGGCTGATGCCACATCTGGGGGCCTCTTCCTGTTAGCTGACGCCTTCTGTGTCCTCATGTGATAGAAGGGGCAAGGCAGCACTCATCAGCCTCTTTTATAGGGGCCCTAATCCCATCCACAAGGACAGGGCTCTTATGACTTAATTACCTCCTAAAGGCTCCCCGCTCCCTGTTAATGCTGGGATTGCATTGTGGGTTAGGTTTCTTCATATGAATTTGGGGGGAACATAAACATTCAGACCACAGCGGATCCTAAATGCTGGGTTGACCTCATCCTGTGCCAATTCTTTTGCTTTGCACCTTCATACTGTAACACAGCCTGCATATGTTGTATTAGGTTATGGAATTCCTCCTTTTTCCAAAGTCTCTACAGGCAGAAATATGGTAACAGGAGGTAACGACCCTGTGGTTCATGCTCCCAAGCCTGAGATTCCTGTGTAGTCACATCGCTTCTTACCTGAGTCCTTCATGGCATCGGGTCTTTCAGGTTAGCTGCCTGTGCTAGTGATGTGCATGCAGTCCCTCATTTCTCAGACACCTGCATGTCTACTTGGTGGCATTTGTCTCTTTGGCTTCCAGAGACCAAGCCTTGGTGGCTGCCAGAGACCCGAGCCTTGGGATGTCTGGAAATCCTATAGGAGTGTGGACAACCAGTGCCCAACAACCAGGGCCACCAGATTCCCTGATGAAACCAGGGTGTGTGTGTGCAGACAGGGATGCTGGGATGCAGGGGAATGGTTAGAAGGGCTCACGGAAGGTTGGGGTGATGAGGCCAATGCATATCAGTGTGACGATGGTCGATCTGGAGTCCAGAATGTGCAGAGCGGGCTTCCCTGGCAGAGCTTGCCATCTTTAGGAACTCCTGTTGAGAAATCTGAGCAATCTGCATTGAAGCTCCTCTTTCTCCAGAGAGAGGAATTTCACCCAAACAGGATTTACTTAGCATCTTTGCCCCAGACTGACTCATGTTTCCGTCTGGGGATCCCTGATGCTGACGTGACTGTGCCTGTGAACATAAGTAAAAGCTGTTTGTTTTAGAAATTCATCTCTCGGGGAGAAGTGGGCTCATGTAAATGGGGCTTGGCATAAACATCCGTGTTTGATGTTGCTGTGACGGCTGCTGGCGGTGGCGGAGTTCCCTGTCTCAGGAAGGGTGGCGTGGGGAGCTTTGGTGGCTTCTTGGGTACAGGGGTACCACTCATGCATTCTGGCTGTTAGCAGCCTCCTGCCCTGCTCAAAATGGGGCAACCCCAACAGTAAAGCATGGGGGAGGAAGATCTGCTGACTAGCTGACAGTCTGCCGCGTGGAAGAGAGAAGCCGGCTTTGTTGAGAGGTCTGCATGAGGCTGTGCCTCTCGTGTTGTGCAGCCTTCTACGATGAGGCAGAGCTGCCAGCTCTGTGCTCCTCATCCCTGGCTTTGCTGATGCCCCCACTCCATGATCTGGTGACAAGGCGTGGTAACCCACAAACGGGGAGAACAGGCGAGGGCCAACTTGTTGAGATCCATGATAGTCCTGTTAGCTGAAGATGCTGTTCTAGACCTTTCTCACTCTCTGATCTCTTATCTTCCTCATGTTTTCCTGATGTTGTATGTTCTCCACTCACACTTCAGCTGATGCCGGCCTCTGTTTTGTCTGTTTCAAAAGGGCCCTTTTGCTTAATCACATCCCATAGCATTGGTGCCTGTGAGATCCTCCTGTAAGGTTAAAGCACTGGTTCTCGGATTCTACATGTATTAGATTACCTGGCAACTGGTGAGAGATGCAGATCACATGGAGTCTGATTGCCTAAGTCTGAGGTCCAGCCCAGAAGATGGACTTTTAACTAGCTTCCTGGGTGACTCTACTGCATTTTGAGACGAGCTTTCTGGCAAAATGGGTGTATGGGGGGGTGGGGCATTGAAATTTCACATCAGATGTGTTACATCTATGTGCATGCCTTCATCATACCTGCAGTGGCATCTTCTGTGGTCACTGGTGTGATAATTGTCCTAGTCACCATCAGCCTTTAGCATTCTAGTTAGAGCTAGCTTGTTAGCCAGGTCTGGGGGAACTGGGAAGAGAAAAAGACTGAGAGTCCTTGCCTGAGAGATGGAGAATGTTGAAGAGAGCAGTTTGAAGTTCTTGGACAAGACCCAAGACAGGGGATGTGGTTCCAGAACTTTTCAGCAATGGGCCAGAGGTGTAGTTCAGCAAAGTGTGTTTCCACATGTGTTTTCAGCCAAAGGGAAGCTTTGCTGAAGCCAGTGTTCGTGCCCATGCGGCCTTGAATGTCCTCCTCCTACCCTCCTCCCTAACCTCACCTTTCCCGACCTGGATGGAAGGATCCAGTCTCCAGGGGCTCAAGGGTGAGCCCTGGGGCTTTGCAGCTCAAAGGAGGACATCTTAGCCCAGCAGAGGAGGATGGGGGAATCCTGGCTACAGTTGGACAGCATTTGTTTTGGGGGTGGGCTGTTGCTTTTTATATGGCTTTAACTTCTCTTTGGTGAGTTAAGGTTCTGCATACAGAACAGCAACTTATGTAACATGTTACTCATTTACTGCTGACTTCCCTGATCTGCTGTGGAACAAATGCTAAATCGGGGCTCTGGCGGATGATGTTTTGGTTTCAGACTGAGTTTTTTCCCCCAGCAACGTTTGTGGGGCATGTGCATCGGTTCTACACTGCTCTTGATTTTGGTTCTTCTCTGGCAGTGAGTACTGGCTTTGCGGTCTGGGGCTCATCTGCCTCAGTATCCCTTGGAGAGCTTGTTAAAATGGGCTCTATCCCAATTGAATGAATCAGAATCTCAGGGGACTTGGGGGTGGGTTTTGCACGTTACTGCTGAATTCTAACAGCCTCAGGTATTTACAGGAGCTCCAGCAGATGTGATCGGTTGTAGTAGATGGTTCCTAGATCCATTTGTTGGTAGATCCATCATTACTCCCTGGATATGAAGCTTGTGAGAAGGAATGTGATCTGGTCCTTCAAAGACTGAAGACCTGACATAGTTTCTCTGCCTTGCTGCTGCACTTTCTACTAGGCATCTCTCTGTCTCTCTTTTTTCTAAAACACACCAGTTTCATCTGTACAGAAAAGCTGAGGGGTTTGCTAACCCTTGCTGTGGTTCTGCCCTGGAGAACTGCTCAGCACTCTTGTCTAAATAGGCTGAAGCATCAGTGCTGTACAGATTCACATGAGCCTTTACAGTGAAACATCCCTAACTGGGATCCTTCGTTTCTCTTTGAGCCCTAGAATAGCATGTAGACTAGCAGCGTTCTCCACATTCCAGGAAGGTGATGAGCATCACCGTTGACGCCAGTCTCGTGGTCCCCTGCCCACATTTCTCAAAGGACATTTGAGATCCTTTTCCTTGTGTCTTTATGACTGTTGCCTGCCATGCAGACGTTGCCTCTCACACATTGCATGATTCAGTGTTTGCAGAATTATCTCTACCATTGAGCGAATCATCCCACACAACACACACACACACACGCGCGCACGCGCAACATTTGCCGTTTTTTCTCCATTGATCTTTTCAAATGATCTCAGCTTTCACTTCTAGAACATTTGTTTATCTCTTCCTACTCACTCTTTCAACATGATTATCATTTTCCCCTTTATTGATCATACTAGAGAACTGTGTTTTAAAAACACTTGGGAACTAAGCACAAGCCTGGGAAATGCCTGTGGCTTTTGAGAATCTAGGGCTCCCAAACGGGGACCCAGGATCAGAATCCCCTGGAGGGCGTGTTAAAACAGAGATGGCTTTGTCTGCCTTCAGCATTCTGATTTAGTAGGTGTAGCGTGGAGCCTGAGACTCTGCACTTCCAGCAGAAGTTTCTAGATGCTGCTGTTGGTCCTGGGAGCCCGGTTTCAGAACTGCTACTGCTCTAGAGGAACAAGCTCCAGGATGGTTGGGATGAAATGCAGATGGTGTTGTGCCTGCCAGGTGGTGTTATTGAGGAAACTTGAAGTGCTTATGCTCTGCACCTGGAGCTGGCAATCAGAAGACTGTACATGGAAAGTGTGCGAAATGAAGAGCTGTAAGGTTGAAAGTTTCCGAGTGTAAGTACTTTCCTGAGATGAAGCCTTGGAGTTTCCAAAGTACCCTGTGTGATCCTCATGTGACAGTCCTGAGAGGTGGTTGTTCTACCCATTTTACAGAGGTGGATACTGAGGTGACAAGTGCCCAGGTTGGGATTAGGAGAGAAACTCGGGCAATTTGACTGCAAATTTAACTACTGAGCTGGCCTCGGTACCACCGCCCGGCTGGATTCCAGGCAGTAACATTTTCCTAAGCCCTGATTACTGACAAAAAC